ATATATACATTTAGTATAATGCTCGTGGAAGGAGCCATACCAAGATGAGATTTCCCAGCCTCTTCTTTAATGTGCATCACAGACTAGTAGTGATTTTTGTCATTGCTTAGAACAGACACTCATTTCCATGCCTGACTGTTCTTTAAATGACCACCAAAATCTCAACGGAAGTGCTGCAATATCTTCAGCTCAACAGAAGCTAAAAGAAGAAGAAGGAAGCAGTTGTAAGAAAAAGTTCACCAAAAAAGTGTATTATGCAACACCCAAGAACTGCACTTCAACTGATTTTGAAAGTTTTCGTTTTTGTATTACTAACTTTATGAGGATTTATTTTTATGTCTCCTAAGTCCAACTGAAGGGAGGAAAAAGCAACAGGAAATCTCCCTTGACTTGAGCTAAGGTTTGCAACTTGTTGTTTATATTGTGAAATTCATTAGAGAAGGAATTCAAGTCTTTATTCAAGACCATTCAGAAAAGTCAGTTATTTCTAACAGAGCTCCTGGTTCCAGGGTATGAGGGGTAGGATAGAAAGAAAATGTACAGATCATTAATATTCCTTCTCGGGAAGTGAGAAAACTCCAAAACGCAAAGGAAAGAGTTTTCTAGCATGAGTTAATTATCAAAATGAAAATCTACCATCATAACTGTGTGGATAGAACATTCTTCCCCAAGCTAAAGAACTGGATTTGAATCTCAGTTCTGAGGGATATTCAGACCTTATTCAATCTATTTTTGTTCCTGTAAAGTAAACCTAAAAATGCCCACCCTGTAGATTGCTGTAAAGATTTAATAAGGTAATATATATATATAGCATTTGGCACTAAGAGGTTTATTTTAAAAATTAATTTAAAAAATCATGTATCTCCTTACCCTTTTCCATTGCCAAATATGCAAGAATTGCCTTTGGGTTTTTGTGTGAGTGTGTGAGGGCTGGGCATTGGGAGTGTTTTGCTTTTTTTTTATTAAAAAAAAAAATACTTTCTTTTGGGTTGGTTGTTTTCATCAAAAGAATTACACCTGAAACTTAATGAGTGCATTCAGGGGATAAGAATTAACCATGCCACAATTTAATTCACAACCACATCTTCACTCTGAATGTCTCACATTCCTAAACAGTATCTCTGGTAGTCTGCCTCCACTTCTGACAGAAGTACACGAGAAAAGCTCACTTGGAATACTTCTCAGAAATTCTAACAGGTTTCAGTTGGTGTGTTGCGATCGGATGAGACAGGTTCATTTTATGTACAGGAGAAGTCACAGTTTGCTTTTCTTTCTTGCATGTGGTGCTCAAAAGCAAAGGCTAATTTTAAAAAACAAAAACAAAATAAAAATACAGTGGGAAGTCATTTATTTACTCACTTTTTAAAAAATATATGGTCATTTAACAAAAGTTTGCTTAGTGTCAGTAATGTACTGAAGATTGAGATGGGTAAGACAGGAGCTCTGGGCTCATGAAGCTTTTCCTGCAGTCATTTCAATGGACCCATCTTTCATCCTGCATCTAGTGGCTTTTCATGAAGAGCTCAATGACTCTGAAATAAGGATGTTCAAAAGTAGAAAAGATGCAATTCATGGGTAAAAACAATTTCCTTAGAGTTGAGATTTTTAATCCCCATTGGACAAATTAAGGAACTGTTGAAATACACTGGGCTTTTCTGAATCCCAAGGAAGTATTCAGCTCTCTGAATCAGAAAAAAAATTCTGCTGCTTTTTGACCTGCATCGTTTTCCACATGTGTCCAATTTCTTGAAATACCCTCATGAGTTTCTTAGGCGATTCAGAGTTATGTAGCATTTGAAATCTGAAACTTGAACACAAACCATAATTAAATGACTTAAAATATGGAAATGATGAAGGGGAGTTTAACATTCAATTCCAGCCTTACTTGGCCAAACCCAAATTCCCTACAAACCTCAAACCCTAGATTTAGTTCTGTGTTATCATGCCCTTGGGAACTCCTCTGAAACGCAACTTCCTTTTTCTGTAATGTGAAGACTTGTCCAACGACTATAGCAAATCACAATGGCTTGTTACAATGAATGTTTATTTCTTGCTAGAATTATGTAGTCCAAGGCAGGCTGGCAAAGTGATTCATTCCATCTCTAATCAGTAACCCAAGTTTGTTCAGTCAGGTGATTCCAACATCTCCGAGAGCTTTGTCCTCCTCTGTATTCAGGAGAGAAGTCTTAGAGGGTTTTCTTGCATTGACCACTCCTGCACATAGTTCCCAGCCCTTCCAGCCATGTTCTAGTACTCCTGTGACCATAAGTAACTACATGAAGGCCGAGAGAGTGGTCTTGCTGTATGTTTTGTGTTGCCTGATGTCGTTATGTGCTGAGGAGTCAGATTCAACTCATGGTTGGCCCTCGAGTGAATTTTCAAATTGCATGGATGGAGATTGCCTATCTTTCTCTCCCTCAAAGCAGTTGGTGGATTTGAGCTGCCTGCCTTTGAGTTGTCAGTGCAACTCCTAATCCACTAGACCACTAGATCTCCTTATGGGAAGAGGAAAAGGATTCTGGTGATACAGTACAGGCTTCTCCACAGTACTTAGTCTAGAAGGTTATCCCAAGGTTCAATTGAGATAATATATGCAGGAACATGAAGAATGTATTAAGAAACGACAATTTAAAATGGAACCAAAAAACCTACTACCATAGAGTCACTTCTGACTCATGGTTTCTGAGGCTGTAAATCTTTGTAAGAAGAGACTGTCCATCCTTCTACCAAAGAGCAGCTTTGTATTTGAATGGCTGAGCTTTCAGTTCCACACATTATGCACTACACCATCAGAGATTTTTTTCATAAGGAAGACCCACTATGAGGTGGATTGATTCAGCGACTGCGGTAATGGGGGTAGGTGTGTCGGAAACAATGAGATTGGCACAGGATAGAGCAGGGTTTAGGACTGTTGTACATAGGGTCACTATGAGAAATGGGCAATTAGACGGCACCTACCAACAACAACATTACCTCTGAAGGTTTCTTACTGAACTCCCAACTAAGTTGTGGTGGATTCCTTCCACTCAGCTTATCTTAGAAGGAGTGAGTTGGCCAGTCTAGCATCCATCTTTATGTAGTAAGAACAAAGATCTGCCCATCTTCTTTGTCTCTAACAAACTCCAGATCCTTACCAGGCATCTTACTCTAGAATCAGCTGAGATATATTTCAAGTAATTGGAAGGAGAGGGAAAGCTCATCTTTTGGGTCACCTTTTTCTAAGCATTTTATTGTTATATTTTTGCCTCCACGGTGTGACCTTGTTGTTAGGTGCTGTTGAGTCACCTGTGAGTCATAGCGATCCTGTGTACAACAGCCCTGAAACCTGCTCCATCCTCTGCCAACTCTACCGTCTCTGACACTCCTACACTCATTACCCCAGTCACTGTATCAATCCATCTCATTGGTGATGTGAGCTTAAGACCTCAAAAAATGGGGAGTCACTAGGCTGACTCACTCAGATGTGTTCTCCAAGCTGTTGCAAAACAATGTCTTGAAAGAATGCAAATCAGATCATGTCAGCACCTACTTAAAACCCATTAACCCATCAGTGAATTTGGAATAAAGTCCCAGTGCCTTGTACAAGGTTGGCTTCTCCCATCCTCTTCTTCCAAGATCGGCATCTGCTTCCCTCTCTGACATTGCTGCAAGTCATCCTTCCCCTCTTCCACTTCATTCATGAATTCATTTATTCATTAATTCACTGGTTCACAAATGCATGTCTATCTTTTTTACTAGGTGCTGGGGTTATAGTGGCAAAATGAAGGTCCTGCCCTTGTGGTGGGAAGTTACATTCTAGCCTGATGCCGGTCACAGATGTCTTCTTTTGACATACTTCCCCTGCTTCCATGACTTGGTATTTGCTGTTCCCTTTCCCTGGAACACTTTGTCTCCTGCTCTTCCCACTAAAGTCTATAGAAAGCTACCTCTGAAAATAAAAAAAAACATTAAAAAAAGAAAGCTACCTCTGGTTATTCTTGGTCGTTGCACATCCAGAAGTCCTTCAAATCAACTGGCAAAATCAATAGGCTTATTTGAGTATTTATTAGCTGTCTGCCTCTACTAAAAAGTAACTCAGGGATCTTGTTTCTCTTGTTTGCTGCTGTGTCCTTGACATCTATAAGCCCAAAGCCAAATTCACTCCCCTTGAGTCAATTTAGACTCAGAATGACTCTAGAAACCCTTTGTTGTTGTTGTTCTGTATGTGTAACATCTAGTGGGAAATGACCCATAGCTGACACTCCAGAAGGATTTCAGAGGCAGTTAATCTTTTGAGAGAAGACTGACCATCCTTCTCCTGTGAAGCAGCTGGTGGCCTTGAACAGCATGCCTTCAGGATTGCAGTGCAGCTTTTTGCCACTAAGCCATCAGTGCTCCCTATAGAGTGAAAGTTCAATAATTCACTGTTGAATGAATGAATAAATGAGTGTGCGAAGGAGCAGCTCTGGTGGCCTAGTGGTTAAGGAACTGTGCTGTCTACACAAAAGTAGGCATTTCAAATCCATCAGCTGCTCTGTGGGAGAAAGACAGGCAATCTCCTCTTCAGGCGTTTACAGCCTCTGAAAACCTGCAGGAGGGTCAGCTATCAATCACTTCTGACTGGAAGTCACATAACGAAACAGGAGTAGCAGCTGAAGTATCTGATTATGGTCCCAGGTCTGAGTAAGTTCTGAGCACCCGTTTCCTTCCAGTGACCTGAGCTCATTTCTGTTCTCTCTGATTGTGGTTTTGTAGGGAATGACACCACTCCACTGGGCAGCCTTCCACAACCAGCCTCAACACACCCAAATGCTGCTGAAGAAGGGGGCAGACCCCTCCCTTGTGGATAAAGACTCTAAGACGGCTCTACACTGGGCAGTCCAGGTGAGAAATCGGGCAGATTGAATGGCATGCAGCACTTTTAATTGTTTAGTGGTATATGTGGTCTGAGAGAAGACAATATCCAAACACACAAGGATTCAGCAAGGACTTGGAAATGATAGGTTTGGTAGAGCAAGTAAGATTCATTCTGCCCTTCTCTTCCTCTTTTAATATCCACAGGAGTCATAACAAACTTTGTTACCTCAGAGGGCTTGTTGATAAGAAACCCTGGGAAGTTTGGAGGGGAGTGATTTTAGAATATCAAATAAAGCCTCTCTCCTAGGCTGTCAAGCGTGCATACACACACACACACACACACCCTCTGTCACTCCTGTTCTTGCTGTCTCTCCATTATAATGCCTGCTGCTGACTCAGTGTCCCAGGACAGAGTGACTGGCAAAATCTCTTCACGGTCTCTGAACCACACTTTTCCCTCTTCTTCCAAGCTTTCTAAAGTAGAGCAGCTGATGCTGAAATCTGAACTGAAAAGATGAAGATTGGTAGTGGCGGTGCCATTGAGTTCAATTCGTAGTGATCCTTTCAGCAACAAATCTGACCCCCGTCCTATTCTGTGCCATCCTCACAATCTTGAACACACGTTAGCCCATTGCTGAAGTCTCCTTGTCAATCCATCTTCTTGAGGGTCTTTTTTCCTTCCACCATCCCTCCACCTTTCCAAGTATGATATCCTTCTCCATGGACTAGCCTCTCCTATCAACATGTTCAAAGCATGAGAGACTAAAATGAAGATATTACCTTGTTATCCTACTACCCTCTTACAGAAGGGAGTTTGTGTAAGTATGCATGAGCAAAGAAAGCAGAATAGGCCCTAGAACTCAATATCCCAAGGAGGGTGAAGCAGAGAGTAAGGTAAAGGAGTGACAGTAGCTCTCATCACTGGAGGAGCTCGAGAGCTTGCTGGCCTGGACTGCCTTTCGGCGGCCTCAGCACAGCCACAGCCACTGTTTATTTCAGACGGACTTTCTGACCCGCTGCCAAGCTCCTGGGGGGTGTAGTTTCTGCCAACTACTGACTGTGGTTTCACTCAGATGTTTTCACGTGCCAAGCACAGCAGCGGCTGGCACCTGGGACTTTCGGGGTTGACGCATGTATCTGCTGTGAGGGGAAAAACAGAAGTGATTTGGAAACTGCTCTGTTTCTGTCCCTCCCGCTTCTTTTTAGCGGGATCCCCCTGAGCACGGCTTGTTTTTGTTCTCTTCACCTGCCCTGCTCCCCTCCTTCATGTTCTTGGTATCTAATCACCATCTCAATGCCAGTTTCTGTCCGGGCCCAGGCCCCTTGGCTACCCTCTGGTAGCATTCCCAGTGGAACCCAGGCAGACTCTCAAGAAGTGTTCTCTGTGTCTTGGTGCTCAGCTGAAATGGGAGCGTATCAGAAACAAGTCTTTTCTGAACATTTACCCTTATCAGCATTGCACTTAGTCTACAGTTCTGGGAAGGGGTCGTGCATGTGTGTTGTGAAAACTCCCCGGGTAATTCTGACCGCTGTGCCACCTCTACTCCCTCATACTTCACGCCACCCCTAATCTAGAGATGCTTCTCTGGACCAGAGGTTTCCAAGCCTGGCCTTGTAACAGAATCACCAGAAGTGCTTGTTCAGTGACAGAGACCCAGGTCTGTCTCCAGGTTTGAACTGAACTCTCTTGGAGTGAAAACCCCTGCTTTTATCCTCTGAAAAGTTTGGCAAAGTCATCAGAAGACCATAGAGAGCTCAGATGCCCTGAATGCAATGTCAAATGCAATGTGAAAAGCTGCCAGTACTTGCTTGGCTCACCTCTTAGTGCACCTGTGAGATTTGAAGGCACCAGGCACAGGAGTGGGGGATGGAGTAGGCTGAGTAATTGAAAAAGATTATTGTTCTGATTATGGTTCCTGATTTCCTCCACAAAAACTTAGCTCTCATGTCCATGTCTTCATATTCTTTCTCCCCAAGAAAGTGATACAGCATTTAGTTGGTTACAGTGATTTTCAACCATCTGCACATTGACCTTTTAAAATCACATTGACCTTTTAAACCATACTGATTGCCCAGGGCCTCAGATTGAGATTCTATTGCTTTGAGTGGGACTAAGGCATCATTATTCTCCCCACCCCTTTTATTCTGATTTATTTACAAAGTTAGAATACATTGTTTTTCACAGAAGATTCTTCCCATTTGCTTCACCCCACCCACCCATCGAACTGTGCAACTGTATGATTAACATCCTCCCCTCCATCCTCACACCTCTATTTCCACCCTCCCCCACTTTGATCTCCATACTCATTCTATAATAATAATTTTATACAGTATTTGTCCTTGTGGAACTGAGTTCACTCAGCATAATGCTCTCCAGTCCCTCCCAAGTTAAGTAGTAATTTACAAAATAATTGCTTCTGAGTGTGGCATAGTGTTCCATTGTATGAATGTACCATAACTTCTAAATCCATTCATTTGTGGTTGGACATCTGGGCTGTTTCCATATTCTTGTGATGCTAAATAAAACTGCTATGAACATCGGTGTACAAGTTGCAGTTTGAGCATCACTTCTCATCTTCTTGGGGTATATGCAAATCAATAGAATAGCTGGGTCATATGGAATTTCTATGTTCAGCTTTTTGAGGAAGTGCCAAACTGACTTCCAGAAAGATTGTACCATTTTACAAACCCACCAACAATATAGAAAAGTTCCTATCTCACCACATCCTCTCCAACATTAATTACTTGCTGCTGTCTGTTCTATCAAACTTTGCCCCTGCTACAAGAATGATTTTTATTTGCATCTCTCTTACTGCCAGTGTTTTGGAGCATTTCTTCATATGTCTGTTGGCCATTTGAATATCTTCCTTTGTGAAAATTCTTCCAAACTGTTTTGCCCATTTTGTAATTGGGTTATCAGTCTTTTTCTTGTGGAAGCTCAAGAGTATTGCATAAACTTCCGTTATGAGACTCTTGTCTGAGATGGTATTGCCAAATGTTTATTTCCAATTGGTAGGTTTTCTTTTCACCCTATTGGAAAAAGGTTTTTTATGAACACAGGGATTTAATATTTAGAATGTCCCATTCATCAATTTTATCCTGTTCATATTGTACATTTCTGGTGTATTTATAGAGGGATTCCTCTACCGTAACAAAGAGAACTCAGAGAAGGAAATCAAGAAAGCAATACCATTTACAATAGCCAACCACAAATTGAGATACTTGGAAATGAACCTAACCAGAGATACAAAAGATTTATACAAAGAAAGCTACAGAACATTTCTGCAAGACACAATAAAATACCACAAGAAATAGAAAAAAATATGCCCTGCTCAGATAGGAAGATTCAATATACCAAATAATACCAAAGTCATTTTTCAAAGAGATCGGAAAGGAAATTGTCAAATTTCTTTGGAGAGGCAAGAGACCTTGAATAAGCAAAACACTTCTGAGAAACAAAAATGAAGTGGTAGGCCTAGCACTCCCTGACCTCATAACCGATTACACAGTGGTAGTAACCAAGACAGCATGGTACTGGTACAATGACAGACACATAGACCAGTGGAATAAAATTGAGAACCCAGAAATATTCCCAGCTATCTATGGTCAATTAATATTTGACAAGAAAATCAAAGCTATCAAATGGGAAAATGACAACCTCTTCAACAAATGGTGCTGGCAAAACTGGACTGCTACCTGCAGAAAGCTGAAACAGGATCCACATCTCACACTGTACACAAAAAACAATGCAGGTGGATCAGAGACTTGGGAGTAAAGCCCAAAACCATAAAATTCATAAGAGACGAACTGGAATCAAGCTTAGAAGCCCTAATCTGTGCTATAAAGAGACTGTGAAATACATCAGTATTCTTTTAAAGTTCTCCAAAGAGCTTGTTGTATCGCACAGCTAAGACTAAGAACCATGAAAATAAGTCATTAAAACAAAAAAAAAAAACCAAACCCACTAGTTTATCTGACTCAGTCACAGCAACCCTACAGGACAGAGAAGAACAGTTACATACAGTTTTCCAAGGCCACCTTATCTCGCTCCTCCAGAGTGCCTGATAAGTTCCAACTGGTGACCTTGAGCTTACCAGTGAAATGTTTGGACCACTAACCCACCAGGGTTCCTTGAATTCACATTATTCAGTCTCCCAGAGAAACACTGGTGGAACAATAGTTAAGCACTTGCTGCCACCCTGTTCCAATAGAGCAGGAAAAAACTGTGACACTCTAATTTTGTAAGGATTTATGTTAAAACCTTGGGGAATCTATGGGGCAGTTCTACTGAACTCTGTGGGATCTCTGTGAATCAGAATGAACTCAACAAGAATGGTAATTATGCTTTTGTGTAATCGTAGATGCCTTACTCAATGGCTTAATTATTTCTTGAACTCTTACTATGTGGGATTTGGAATATAACTAACAAGGTGGATCCTTTCCTTCATTGATAGGGTATGCGAACTGGCTCATCGCTTGCCCACCACTGGTTTGCCTAGGCTGTAAAATGAATGGGAGATTACTAATCTTTCTCCTTCAGAATCCCTGGTGGTTTCGAACCACCAGAGAGGAGAAATCTTGGAGTTAGTGGTGCAACTCTCTACAGACTATGACACCAGAGCTCCCTGATCCCTTCTAGAACCCCTTTGTTGTTGTTATGTTACCATCAAGTTGACTACAATTCATAGTGACCACATTAACAATGGGACCATATGAACCTTGCCCTATCCTGAGCCAATCTCACTGTCTCTGATACATCTGATCCATCTCATCAGGGGTCTTTCTGTACTGACCCTTTACCCTATCAAGCATGATGCCTTTCTACAAGGACAAGTCCCCTCTGGCAACCTTCCCAAAGTCTGTGAGACAGAACTTCAAAATCCTTTCTTCTAAGGACCAAGGTGATTTCACATTCTCCAGGATAGATCTCTTTGTTCTTTTGGCAGTCCATCGTATGTTCAATACTCTTACCAGAACCACAACTCAAAAGCATTGATTCTTCTTCTATCATCCTTATTTATTGTGCA